CCCCCCCCCCCCCCCCCCCCCCCCCCCCCAACACCCACTCACGCACAGGCACAATCTCCCAGTCAAAAGCGCCGTCGGCATGGGCAGCAGCAGCCCTCTCGTGCGTGGCCGTGGCATGCTCGTCCTGTTGCTCCCGCGCTATGCCATGCTCCTCCGCACACTGCTCTGCAAAGCACCCCATGGGGTCATCTGAATACGCGTCGCTGAGGCCATCCCTCTGCACCCCGTCCACCATCTCCCCATGCCCAAACCGGTACCCACTCCTGGTTGCACGCAGAAGGGAAGGGTTGGGGAGAAGGAGGGAGGGGAAATGGGGGAAATAACGTAGGGATGTGGAGGAAGCAGGGGTTGAGGCGCCACCAGACTTTCGTCGTGCTGCTCCCGCGCTATGCCCTGCTCCTCCGCAAACTGCTCTGCAAAGCACCCCATGGGGTCCTCTGAATACGCGTCACTGAGGCCATCTCGCTGCACCCCATCCACCATCTCCCCGTGCCCAAACCGGTACCCACTCCTGTTAGCAACACACACAGCAGGGAGGGGGAGGGGAGGGAGAGGGGAAAGGGTAAGGGATGCCTCTCAGCCCGTCCCTCTGCACCTCATCCACCATCTCCCCATGCCCAAACCGGTACCCACTCCTGGTCGAAGGCAACAGGGAGGAAGGGATGGGAGGGAGGGAGGGAGTAGATGGGGAGGAGGGGGTTTAAATGGCATGGGGATGTGGAGGGTCGTCTGAGCGTTGTGTGGCACCAGGAAAATATTCTCAGGCGCCGGAAAAGAGTTTTGAGGCGCCGGAATAGAGAGGGTTGGGAAATGGCATGGGGATTTGGAATGTCGTACGAGTGCTGTGTGGCATCGGGGGAAAGGGTCTCCCTTCTGAGCACAGGGAGATGGTGAATTGAGTGCAGAGGTGCCGAGGGTGGTGCATGCATTGGTTGCCTTAGGGCGTCACATAGCTCGATCGTTACCAGATGTTGTGTTGCTCACCTGGCCTTGTTGAGATAGTAAGGCGCGTTGCTCGTGCTCTCCATGCCGCCTGCCAGTCGACATTTGAGTCGACTCAGAAGCCAGCTTACTTCTTGTGGCAAGAAAGCGTGCACGTGTAGGCTCACCTGGCCTTATTGAGGTAGTAAGGCGCGTTGCTCATGCTCTCCATTCCGCCTGCCACCACCACGTCAGCCAGTCCCAGCATGATGGCCTGTGCCGCCAGGCATATGGCTGCACGCGGTAAGGGGAGCACAAGAAAGTGGCAATGCAGGGGCCTTTTGAGTCATTCCATCCCAGCACGCGTTGACGGATATGCCTGCCTGCCACCACCACGTCTGCCCCAGCATGATGGCCTGTGCCGCCAGGCATATGGCTGCATGCGGTAAAGGGAAAAAACGAGAGGGTGGCGGAGCGATGCAATGTAATGGGCGCGCTGAGTCATCCCAGCACTGGAACGAGTCAACACGTCTGCCTGCCACCAACACCACCACCACGACTGCCCGCCCCAGCATGATGAACTACGCGGCGAGGCACATGGCTGCAGGCAGTGGGCATAGCACCGCGTCACACACCTTTCATGCCAGAGGCACAGACTTTGTTGACGGTGGTTGCCACCACCGAGTCAGGCAGACCCGCCCCAAGTGCCGCCTGTCTGGCTGGCGCCTGCCTAGCTGCCTGGTGCCTGTCTGGCTGGAGCCTACACCGCATCATCGCACCACTCAGCACCGCATCACACACCTTTCATGCCGGAAGCACAGACTTTGTTGACGGTGGTTGCTACCACCGAGTCAGGCAGACCTGCCCCAAGTGCCGCCTGTCTGGCTGGCGCCTGCCCCAGGTCCGCGCTCAACACGTTGCCCATATACACCTCCTCCACATCCGCTGGGCCCAGGCCTGACCGCCCCACGGCCTCTGCAGAAGAACAGGTGAGGGAGGGACGATAGAGGATTCAGTTATGCAAAGACCAGTTGGCGCCTGCCCCAGGTCCGCGCTCAACACGTTGCCCATATACACCTCCTCCACATCCGCTGGCCCCAGACCTGACCGGCCAACAGCCTCTGCAGGAGGAGAAGGGAGGGAAGAACAAGACTTCAGTGATGCACAGACCAGTTGGCGCCTGCCCCAGGTCCGCACTCATCACGTTTGCCCATGTACACCTCCTCCACATCCGCTGGGCCTAGGCCTGACCGCCTTACAGCCTCTGCAGGAAAAGAAGGGGACCGCGGCAGGTGAATTCAAAACGTGAATCCAAAACATCAGTTGGCGCCTGTCCCCAGGTCCGCACTGAGCACGTTGCCCATATACACCTCCCCCACATCTGCTGACCCCAGGGCTCACCTCCCTACGGCCTCTGCAGGAAAGACGGGGGGAAGGAACGTGCGTCCGGGTGAGCACCACCTGTCTATTTTTGGGTCAGATTCGTTTTCGAGTCAGCTCATTATTAAACGACAAAAAAAGAAGAAGTTCTGGCGGTGAGGGCAGAGATTGATTTTTTAGGCGCTTCAAAATTGCGTCCAGGTGAGTGCCGTCTGTCTAGGTGCTGACGGGGAAGGAGGAAAGAGCGAGTATGCAGATGAACTGAGCTGACAAGCAGCGTGTGGGAATAGGAAAGGCTGAGGTGGGTGGCCGAGGGGAAGCAGTGCGAACCCATGCAATGACTTCTGAGTCAGACGCCTGACCTCTGATGGCGATGGCGCCGAGCTGGGTAGCGGAGAGGGAGGAGAGCGAACCCATAAAGCTCCCCATGGGCGTGCGCGCTGCTCCCACTATGCACACCTCTGCGTAAGGAAGGGGATGCAAAAAATGCGGGGAAGAATCGAGAGAGGTTAAGAAAGGACCGAGCTTCGTGGCAGAGAGGGAGGAGAGCGAGCCCATGAAGCTCCAAATGGGCGTGCGCGCTGCTCCCACTATGCACACCTCTGGAGGAGGGAGACGCGAGGAAAAGGGAAGGACCGAGAGAGGTTAACGGCACAGGAGCATGGAGTAGAATGTGAAGGAAGTTACTGTGCCGCCGGAAAAAAGCGAGGGAAAACAACGGCCTGAGAGGTCAGTAGACCTAGTTACTAAGCTCGCATGTACGCAGTGAAAAGTGCGAGAGCTTTCACGCCAGGACAAGAATACATTGAATAAGCGGTAGGTCATCCTACATTTGCCATGTCACGTCTGCACGTTCGGCCGCCTGGGTTTCCAACTATTTCGGAAAAAAAGGCGGGTAGTGAGCATTGACATCAAGCCGTACCCCTGGGATCAAATTCGTCATTTTGATGCTCAGCGCCGTTCGCTTCTGCTGGTGGTGTGGTAGTCGTTGACGAACCAACCATCGGGACTGACTGCTGCGACTCGACAGACACGGAATCCGTAATGAACGAGAGGAGAGGGATGCTGCAGCTGTTGAGAAAAGGCACCGGGTATTGGAGTCTTCCCTTATAAGCTCTTGATTCTAATCCGTGCACATGGACAGCTATAGAGAAAGCTCTGACTGTATCTTGGTGAAGGGTGAAGAGAAAGTTGTTTTACTAGCGGCTCTGAATCCGGAATTTCGACGCAGATGCAGGGTCAGAACGACAATGCTCAGCCTGTAATGTTCAAACATTGAGTTCTTGAGAAGAATGGGTTATTCTCCGAACTTCGAGGCCTAGAGGTGCATGGTGCAAATGTCTTTGAAGTTGGTTTCTGCTGATGAAAGCAGTCATAATTTCAACAGCAACACGGCAGCCATGGTTCTACGTTTCTGGGGTGCTTGAAGGTGGTATTGGGGGAGGGGAGGGTAGGATGATAGGAAGTTGACGAGGACGTTAACGAACACGGTAACATTGTTTCGAGAAGTCCAGAAAATATTTGCACAGGAGCTGCGAAAGCACGCGGCCTTCGCAAATTCTGGTCCGACCAACAACAGGATTGTGGTTGAGAATGGGGCGGGGTCCGCTTGTGTGGTGTGGGTTGCTCTTGTCGCGTGAGCTGGAAATGACGCTGATTTGCTGGACGCACGGCGGGAAAAGCTCGATTGTTTCGCGGAATGCGCGGGAGCCAAATCGCGTGCGATTGGCTGTGGTCCTGCATTGTACGCGAGAAAGGATACAAGGCTTACACCCACTTGAAATCTGTGTTTGTTTAGAGCTGTTAGTGACAATCTGAATTTGACCACACCGATCTCTATGATCTCTAGCGCGCCAACTTCAGCAGATCCCAGATGCGCGATTTCATCCCCAGCCGATCGCCAACTTTCATCCATCCATCCACCCGTTGAAACTCCCAAGGCCTCATCGTGACCGTTCGTTTAAATTGCTTGGTTCATTCACACGTTGCACGCAGGTGGTCCAGAAAGCACGACAAACAACACGTGATTCCTAAAAGCCGTGTTTCAAGATGTGTTTTTGGGAGCTACGGTTTGTACCACAGCACGCTATGGTGGAACACAATCAGTTCGTTTTCGATCATGAGAATTGTAAATTCCAAACTCTGCGTGACACGAAGATGCAAATTGCAGATTTGTCACTAGAGAGCCCACTAGAGGCAATAAAACAATTTAAGAAATACGACCCAGCACCAAACCTGCACAACCCACCCCAGACAGACGCATGACGAAGTGACGGGGATGTGATGACGACGCTGAGAGCTCACCGCTAAATTCGCGAGGCGTGGATCTCGGGGTAGTGTGCGATCTGGCCACAGCACTGGCAGCAGGATTGCATGTGGCCGTTCGCTTTACCGAGGTAGTAGTAGAAGACTGCTGTCGCAAGGGATCCATCACTCACCGTCGATCTATGTCACAACAAGGCGGAAAAGGCTGAAGAGCCTGGAAGAGCCTTTTCCAGGCGATGGAAATAAAGGTTTCCCAGATTCGGATTTAGCTCTGAACTTGGGAGTGGCCCTGAACTTAGGATCGCTTGGGGAGAACAAGGTCATTCTGAAACTAGCAGCACTCAGATTGTCGTTTGTGGGCGTATTTTGAAGAATCTCTAGATAGGACTACATCTTCATCTTCATCCGCCATGGCGTCGGTGGAGATCGCTCGCATGCTTCCGATCATCGGTCCGCGTCTCGCGGAGGCGATGGAAGGGTTGAATCCGTTCGTGATTCCCGTCGCCGTCGCGCTCCTGGTCGTCATCATCGTGCAGTATCTGAGGTATCGTGCTCTGCTTACACTCTGAGGGCTCGATGATGGTAGTTTTAACGACTGATCAACGCTTCTCTCTCCAGGTCGACGGGTTTGCTCCACGAATTCTCAAGGATCCCTGATTCATTCGCCGTGGCTTTGCTGGTCGTTATGGCCTTCCCAGGCGTCATCATCGTGCTGCATTTGCAGTACCGTGCTCAGCTTTCAGCACTCGATGATGGATTTTCTCCATGAATTCTCATCGACCACTCGTCCCCCGTTCCCATATCCCTTCGTCCACTCTTCCCTTCGTCCCCTATTCCCCCTTCCACCGCTTCCCCCGCCTTCCCAGCTACTCCCCCAAGAGCCATCTGTACGGCGTGCTTCTAGACGTGGCCACGCCCGGTCTTACCCACCGCCTCGCCCCTTCTCCCCGACGCGCCGCGTCTCCCCCTTCCCCGCCTCCCCCCTCCCTGCCCCCTCCCCTTGAGCAGGGCTCCCGTGTGCTCCTGGCGTTCTGTCACGCCCTCACCTCCTGCGTCAAGTGTGTGTGCCCCGTTCTCATCATCTGCCCCTCTCAACCCCTCCGCATCTCCTCCTCCACCCCCTCCCCTTGAGCAGGGCTCCCGTGTGCTCCTGGAGTTCTGTCACGCCCTCATCTCGCGCTTCAAGTGCGTACGCCCCATCCTCATCATCTGCCCCTCTCCTCGCCGTGCCGCCCGCTGGTGCTCAGACATCGGTTCACTCTTCTCCCCTCCTGCTGCACCGCCACCTGCTGCAGCAACGTCAGCTGCTGCAGCAACACCTGCTGCAAGAACAGCTGCCACAGGAGCAGCGACAGCAGCAGCAGCAGCAGCAGCAGCTGAAGGGACGGGCGGCGAGGGAGGGGAGGTTCACGTCCTGAAGTATGTGGGATGGTCAAGAGAGGAGCTGGAGGCCATATGGGAGAGGGAGATGCTGCTGCCTGCTGCTGACCGTGCCACCCCATGTGCTGCTAGTGCTGGCGCTGCTGCTGACGATGCCACCCTATGTGCTGCTAGTGCTGGCGCTGCTGCTGACGATGCCACCCCATGTGCAGCTGGCGCCGCCGCTGGTGCCAATGCTGTCGCTGCTGCTGCTGCTGTTGGCGCTGCTGCTGCTAGTGCTGGCACTGCTGCTAGTGCTGGCGCTGCTGCTAGTGCTGGCGCTGCTGCTGCTAGTGCTGGCGCTGCTGCTGCTAGTGCTGGCGCTGCTGCTAGTGCTGGCACTGCTGCTAGTGCTGGCGCTGCTGCTAGTGCTGGCGCTGCTGCTAGTGCTGGCACTGCTGCTAGTGCTGGCGCTGCTGCTAGTGCTGGCGCTGCTGCTAGTGCTGGCGCTGCTGCTAGTGCTGGCACTGCTGCTGCTAGTGCTGGCACTGCTGCTAGTGCTGGCGCTGCTGCTAGTGCTGGCACTGCTGCTAGTGCTGGCGCTGCTGCTGCTGCTGCTGGCGCTGCTGCTGCTAGTGCTGGCGCTGCTGCTAGTGCTGGCGCTGCTGCTAGTGCTGGCGCTGGTGCTAGCAGTGCTGGCGCTGCTGCTAGTGCTGGCGCTGCTGCTGCTAGTGCTGGCGCTGCTGCTAGTGCTGGCGCTGCTGCTGCTACTGCTGGGGATGCTGCTAGTGAGGACCCGTGGGCCCTGTCAGGGGAAGGTACAGCTGCTGCAGCTGCTGCTGCTGCTGACCTTTCAGGGGAAGGCACAACTGCTGCAGCGGAAGGTGCATGTGGGGAAGGCTCAGCGGAATCAGGCATAAGGGTCCAGCCTCAAGTTGTGGTAACCACTGCTGCTACATTTGTGCAGGTGAGCTGCTCCCGTCTTGAGGTTCTCATTCAGTCGACTCAAAAGCTGGGTGCATTTAGGGCAGGTGCACGTGGTGCGGGTGCGTGTGGGGCAGGTGCGTGTGGGGCAGGTGCGTGTGGGGCAGGTGCGTGTGGGTGGGGCAGGCTCAGCGGAATCACGCCTCATAGTCCAGCCTCAAGTTGTCGTCACCACTGCAGCGACCTTTGTGCAGGTGAGCTGCTCGCCGCCTCTCTGGCACTCTCCAAGCAGACTGGTCAGGTGAGCAGCGACCTTTGTGCACGTGAGCTGCTCGCCTCTTGGTGCAGTTGTCATTGCAGAGCGGACTCCAATATGCTCTGCTGCTCACCTCCCCTTCCTCCTCCCTGTGTAGAGAGGTTATTTTTGAGACGTCTCAAAAGTGACCTCTCTACACGTGGCTCTCTGGCACTCTCCAAGCAGACTGGTGCAGTTGTCATTGCAGAGCGGACTCCAATGTGCTCTGCTGCTCACCGCCCCTTCCTCCTCCCTTTCCTCCTCCGCCACCCTGCCTGCCCTTGCCACGTCTCCTCGCCCGCCCTAAGCCTTCCTGGTCATTCCACTCCAGTTTCCTGAGTCTGTTTCTTTTGAGATGCCGCCCGCTGTTTATGGCAGCTCAATTCTCCTGGAGACACTTTCCCTTCAAGCCTAAAACGTGAGGACGCGCTCACAGCCGTTGGATCTGATCTGTGTGCGGCCCGGATGTGCAGGTGGTAGGCTGGCTCTCCCAGGTGCATTGGGAGGCTGTTCTTGTGGAAACCCCGCCACCTGGCGTCCATGTGGACGATGACAGGTGGCAGTCGGTGGTTGGTCGTCTTCGACACGAATCTCAGTGTGCTGAGGTGGCGGTGAGGAACCTGCTGGCTCATGCAGCTAATGACGACACGTGTGCAGCTAATGACGACACGTGTGCAGCTAATGACGACACGTGTGCAGCTAATGACGACACGTGTGCAGCTAATGACGACACGTGTGCAGCTAATGACGACACGTGTGCAGCTAATGACGACACGTGTGCAGCTAATGACGACACATGTGCAGCACTGGTGCCAGCTCCCCCGCCCCTCTCTCTGCATTCCCGCCTTCTCGTGTGTGCGTCTTCTGGAGGCTCAGGGCAGTGGGGTCAGGAGGAAGGTGGGAGGCAGAGTGGGAGGCAGAGAGAGCAGCAGAGGGAGCAGCAGAGGGAGCAGCAGAGAGAGCAGCAGAGGGAGCAGCAGAGGGAGCAGCAGAGAGAGCAGCAGAGGGAGCAGCAGAGGGAGCAGCAGAGGGAGCAGCAGAGGATCGAGAGTGCAGTGCGGGCATGGGACCGTCTCACTGTGGCTGCTGCTGCTGTTGTGGCTGCAGAGGCAGCAAAAGAGAAAGCAAAGGCAGTTGAGGAGGAGGAGGAGGAAGAGGAGGAGAAGGCTGCAGCTGCAAGGGCAGCAGCAGGCAGAGGAGGAGGGGAAGCAGCAGCAGGCAGAAAAGGAGGGGAAGCAGCAGCAGGCAGAAAAGGAGGGGAAGCAGCAGCAGGGGCGCGAATAGCAGCAGCAGCGGCGGCGGCGGCGGCGGCGGCAGAAGCGGTGGGTGCGGCGGACCTCGAATGGACAGGAACGGGGACGGAGGGGGCGGAGGAGGGGGAGGAGGAGGAGGTGGGGGAGGAGGAGGAGGTGGAGGAGGGGGAGGAGGTGGAGGGGGGGGAGGAGGAGGAGGTGGAGGAGGGGGAGGAGGTGGAGGGGGGGGAGGAGGAGGAGGAGGAGGAGGAGGAGGTGGGGGGGGAGGAGGGGGAGGAGGGGGAGGAGGGGGAGGAGGGGGAGGAGGGGGAGGAGGAGGAGGAGGAGGAGGAGGAGGAGGAGGAGGAGGAGGAGGAGGAGGAGGAGGAGGAGGAGGAGGAGGAGGAGGAGGAGGAGGAGGAGGTGGAGGAGGTGGAGGTGGAGGAAGAGGAGGAGGTGGGGGAGGAGGGGGAGGAGGAGGAGGAGGAGGTGGAGGAGGTGGAGGAGGAGGAGGAGGTGGAGGAGGTGGAGGAGGAGGAGGTGGAGGAGGAGGAGGAGGAGGAGGAGGGATGGGGGGGTGGGGGAGGGAGTGGAGGGGCCGGGGGAGGGGGAGGGGAGGAAGGAGAAAGGTAATTCCGGCGAGAGCAGTGGTGCCTCTGGCAGGGGCAGTGGTGGGAAAAGGCTGTGGCATGTGCTGAATGTGGGGTTGGCCAGGGAGAGTGGTAGTGTTGTTGAGCGGAGAAGAGCGGGAAGAGGTTGAGGGGTGGGAAGGGAGTGGGTGGAAGGGAGTGAGTGGAAGGGAGTGGGTGGAATGGAGTGAGTGGAAGGGAGTGGGTGGAAGGGAGGGAGTGGGAGGAAAGGAGGGAGCGGGTGGACGAGAGGGGAGGAGTGGGGGGAACGGAGGGTGTGTCGAGCATATTTGTATGTTTCTGTGTTAGGCTGTAGTGAGGCTAGCTATAGGAGTGGGTTTGGTTGTGTGGACCATGTTTGTCAGATGATTCTAGAAGACAGAGCTCTGTTTTAATGTTACTTTTGAGAATTCAAAAGTAATACCTGGATAGAATGCTGGGAAGCAAGCACACGCTATTGTAATTTTCACACTACATTTTGCTTATATGTGGGATGGGAGAGCCTTTCTACTTGAGCTATTTGTTGATCCAGAATTTGCTTCCTGATGTGTATGCGGTATGTTATGAGTTGGTCTCTGAAAACAGAGAAACTGTGTATATTTCAATGCAGACATACCGTACCCTTTGGCCTACGCATGGAGTGATGGTACAATACATACATGGCCTTTATTATTTGGCAGATTATTGCGCAGGGAGCAATACATGCCATTATTAACTAGAGATTCGTTACATTTCAACAAGCATACAGACATGCATAAACCCTTCCTAGAAGTGTCTTACTACCTCAAACATCAAAAGACCATCGCCAAAACCCGAAACAAAGTATTGCTTCCTAAGACATCTACAGCCGCATGTCAACCGTGGAATGCACCAGACCTGAATACGCGCCTGGGGAGGAGCCCTGGGTCCTCGCTTTTGAGGCACCTAAAACAATGCAGGGAGCGGGACATTCCCTTTAGTAACCACTCCAACGCAGGGAGCAGGCTCTCCCCTGTAGCTCCCGCGGGTCAACCAAGGCTTTCCGACCCGACCCGAATGCACCAGACCAGAGACCCGACCCTGAATCCTGATCTGCATACTGCCTCCTTGCCTCCCTCTGTCCGTCCTACTTGGAAAGAGGCTGCACCGCCAACACTGACCGCACCACGTGGCCAAACTGGTCCTTCCATGTCAGACTTCCGAATTGGAAATCAGGAGACGCCTTCGTGACTGTGAACCTGATAGTGAATGTTACAACCCGCATTGGAGGGATTGTGAATTTATTAGGGCTTACAACTGTAGTAACACCAGGCGGTGTAACGATAGTTGAAGTGTAGCTGGATACTGTATTCGCAACGTTCTGCACCGTTCGCGACACCAGCACCGTTTTTTTCAGCCGCGAGACCGAAATCGTCGGGCGGTTCAGATTATACGCCGGAATCTGGGACAGCTTCGTTCCGATTGGCACGGAACTCTTGGCGCTCACCAAGTTCTGCCCGGCAAGGAAGTTGTAATAATCCGTAGCGCTGGCGGGAAAAGTGAGCCCAGGGTCCATCAGACCATTGGGATTGACATGGCCCGCTCCCATATCCCACGGCGTCGCCTTGTTTCCAGTCAAACCCGCAACGATTGACCCGTTTTTAGTATTAGTCACTTTTGCTGTAGTCATAATCGCGGACATGACTTGCGACGGCGACCAAGCAGGGTATCTTTCGACGAGCAGCGCAGCGATTCCCGCCATGTGCGGAGTAGCCATGGAGGTTCCGCTAAGCATGGCGTAACTGGGGGTAGAAGCCGCTGCGAGGGACGACGACGGCGCAGCGGCCCATAGAGAAACGCCAGGACCGATTATATCGGGCTTTAAGATGTCGTTGGTGGGGAAAGAGAGGCTGGCTGCAGTAGCAGGGTTGACGAGCGGGCCAGTAGACGAGAAATATGCGATATCTGGGGCTTGATCGCTGGTTACGTCCGTTTTGAAGGTGTAGGCGAAGGATGCAGTCGGGCTGGCGGAGGGAGGGAGAGGGGGAATTGGAAAAACGGGTAAGGGACGGCAGGAAACGCGCGGGTCAGAATAGAAAAAGCGAGATCTGGGGCTTGATCGTTGGTTACGTCCGTTTTGAAGGTGTAGGCGAAGGATGCAGTCGGGCTGGCGGAGGGGAGCGCGAGGAGGGAAGGGAAAATGGGTAGATTACGAGTTAAAAGAAATGAAAGCGATTCGCAAGGCTTGATCGCTGGTTAAGTCCGTCTTGAAGGTGTAGACGAAGGATGCAGTCGGGCTGGCGGAGGGGGGAGCGACGGGGAGAGGGGGGAAGAGCAAGAAGGAGAAGACAGGGAGTTGGTAAGGGACGGGAAGAAACTCGTGAGTCAAAACCCTACTTTTCTGCTCAGCTCTTCAGGCGGTCGGTTTCTGGTGATTGAGGGCTTGATTGGTCGGACTGGGGTTATGCTGTGTGTGTGCTGTGGGTGTGGCAGACGTGTGAGGGGACAAGACTTGCTATACGCAGAGAGTGAGTTTAGTAACCCCTCACTTGACAATGGTGCAGGTGTACATGCGTAAAAACACCTGAATTGACAATGGTGCAGGTGTACGTGTCACTTGACACGTCTCGATAACTTCTGCTCCCATGACAGGCAGCCGAGAGTCATAGATCGGGCTTGGTCTGGCTGCTGCTGGTGCATCCACCACAGTACAAACCAATTTTCCTACTTGCACTCAGCGGCCGGACAGAGAGTGTAGTAACCCCTCACCTGGCAGCGGTGCGGGTGTACGCGCGCAGGACACCCGTCTCGCTCGCCTCTGCTCCCATGACCGGCAATCGAGCCGTATAAATCGGGTACGCTCTTGCTGCTGCAAACACATCCACCACAATCACAGCGCTGCCGCCCTTGCTCGCGACCTCTGCTGCCTTGCTGCTGGCGCTGGTCCAGCCATACGAGCAGAGTACGATCTTCCCTGCGACCTTGGTGGCGTCCAGTGAGCCTTCGGAACAGTACTGGCCCTGCAGGGCAGGGGAGCAAAGGGGGGGGGATAGGAATGGATGAGGGTGGGTTGCTGCTGGCGCTGGTCCATCCATACGAGCAGAGTACGATCTTTCCTGCAACCTTGGTGGCGTCCAGTGAGTCGTCGGCACAGTACTGGCCCTGCAAAGTGGGGGGGCAGAAGAGAAGGAAAGGGAGGAAACGGAGGAGAAGGAGAGCGGATGAGGGCCGGTTGCTGCCTGTTGGCGCTGGTCCATCCATACGAGCACAGCACGATCTTTCCTGCGACCTTGGTGGCATCCAGTGAGTCGTCGGAACAGTACTGGCCCTGATAGGTGGGGGAGGGGATCGGGAGGAATGGGAGGAATGGGAGGAGAAAAGGAATGGATGAGGGCGGGTTAGTGCTGGTCCACCCATATGAGCACAGCACTGTCTTTCCTGCGATCTTGGTGGCACAGCACTGTCTTTCCTGCGATCTTGGTGGCACAACACTGTCTTTCCTGCGATCTTGGTGGCACAGCACTGTCTTTCCTGCGATCTTGGTGGCACAGCACTGTCTTTCGTCCGTGAGTAGTCCGAACAGTACTGGCCCTGATAGGTGGGGTAGGGAATCGGGAGGAATGGGAGGAACAGGAGGAGAAAGGGAACGGATGAGGGGCAGGTTGGCGCTGGCCCATCCATACGAGCACAGCATGATCTTTCCTGCGATTTTGGTGGCGTTCACTGAGTCGTTGGCAAGGAACTGACCCTGCAGGGTGGGGGGGGGGGACGAGGAGGGTGGGTGAGGAAGTGGAGGGGAAGGGGAATGAGGGGTGGGCTGGCGAGCGATTTTGGTGGCGTTCACTGCGTCGTCCGCAAAGAACTGACCCTGCAGGGTGTGGGGGGGAACGGGGAGAGGAAGGAGCAACTTCTGAGGCGCCCCAAAAGGCGTTGAGTGAGTCTTCGGAACAGTACTGGCACTGGAGGTAGGGGAGCAAGGGGGAGGGTTGGGAAATGGATGAGGGAGGTTTGCAGCTTCACGAGTCAAGGCTCACGAGTTATGTTCCTGGTGTGAATGCCAGGCAGCCTGCTGCTTCCCCACATGCACTTCAATCTCAGTATTCCCGGCTGACCGCGCGGCAACACCCTCCACCAACCCCAGTCCCTGCACTGGCACGTTCCCCGAGCCAAACCGTACAGCTTCACAAGCCACGCCTCGCGAGTCACGATCCCGCCTGACAGCCAGCCAGCCACACACTGACGTTGATGCTCATCTGCTCTTCCCCTTCCTCACCTCAATCGCAGCCTTCCCGGCTGCCCGCGCTGCAGCACCCTCCACCAGCCCCAGACCCTGAACCGCCACGTTCCCCGAGCCAAACCCGTACAGCTTCACCACCCGCCCGTCGCCCAGCGTGGCTGCCGACACATAGCTGCGAGCGATGGTGCTGCAGGGAGGGAGAGGAGAGGAGAGGAGGGAGAGGGGGGGAGGTGGGGAGAGGGAGGGGGAATGATGTTGAGACCAGAAGGCACAAACCCGTACAGCTTCACCACCCGCCCGTCGCCCAGCATGGCTGCCGACACGTAGCTGCGAGCGATGGTGCTGCAGGGGGAAAGGGGGGAGGGCCAAAAAGGGGGCAGGCAAGGGTGGGGTTAGAATGAACACACAACCCATCGCCTTCACTTGGCACGCACCCATGACCTCAAACGGACACATAAGTTGGAGTTGCTTTTGAGAATTCTTAAACGAACTCATAACCTATGGCGTTCACTCGGCACGCACGCACCCATGGCAAAGGTTAAACACATAGCGCCACCCTCCTGAGGACACTTAGCACTCACCTGGCGCCAACAGAAGCACCTGATGGCTCACCTGGGGCTAACAAAAATGCCCTTGACAGCCCACCTGGCACCAACAGAAAAGCACCTGGGAACCCACCTGGCGCCAACAGTGAGGTAGAACGGCGAGAAGTTGGAGATGCTTCGATACATGGAGGGGTGCAATGGAGGCGGACCCGAGTTCCCCGCTGCATAAACCACCACTGTGCCGGCCAGATTCGCGTATAAATACGTCTGATCGCTGAAATACGTGGGACTGGGGTCTGCGCCGCCCAGGGAGAGCGAGATGACGTCAACCCCGTCAGCGACAGCCGCGTTGACAGCTGCCTCCACGTCAGCATACGTGGCAGTGATCCCGCCGCCTGTGACAGAGTTGCCCCAGAAGACCTTGTAGGCTGCGAGGAAGGCTCGGGGTGCCATGCCGGTGGCGTTGCCGACGTTTATGTTGCGGGGAGATAGCACCACAGGCACGTTGCTGTTGCCTGCTGCCGCTCTGCATAGTGGAGGGGAGAGGGATGGGAGAGGAGAGGAGTGGAAGACGAGGGGAGAAGGGGAAGAAGTTCAAACGCGTTTGGTACTTGAGCCTTGTGAGCTGAAGGGGGAAAGACAGAAACATGTTGGATCCTTTAGACTAAGAGGAAGGTTCAGGGTGAAATTTAAGTCGAGTCAAAAGTCAGCCTTATTAGCTGAAAGCGGAAAGACAGAAACATGTTGGATCCTGTAGACTAAGAGGAAGGCCCGGGGGCAGGGGCGCCCGATCGTGGCAGTGGTGGTGCCGGCCCGGCATGTGCCTTTCTTCTAGGAGGAACTAAACAAAGGAAAAGCAAGAACGAGTTACATACATCGTAGTCTTTCAGAGGGTTGAAGTGCAAACCGAGAGGGTTGAAGAGCAAAGCAAGAGGGTTGAAGAGCAAAGCAAGAGGGTTGAAGTGCAAAGCAAGAGGGTTGAAGAGCAAAGCAAGAGGGTTGAAGTGCAAAGCAAGAGAAGTGCAAAGCAAGAGGGTTGAAGTGCAAACCAAGAGGGTTGAAGTGCAAAGCAAGAGGGTTGAAGTGCAAAGCAAGAGGGTTGAAGTGCAAAGCAAGAGGGTTGAAGTGCAAACCAAGAGGGTTGAAGTGCAAAGCAAGAGGGTTGAAGTGCAAACCAAGAGGGTTGAAGTGCAAAGCAAGAGGGTTGAAGTGCAAAGCAAGAGGGTTGAAGTGCAAACCAAGAGGGTTGAAGTGCAAAGCAAGAGGGTTGAAGTGCAAACCAAGAGGGTTGAAGTGCAAAGCAAGAGGGTAAAAGTGCAAAGCAAGAGGGTTGAAGTGCAAAGCAAGAGGGTTGAAGTGCAAAGCAAGAGGGTTGAAGTGCAAAGCAAGAGGGTTGAAGTGCAAAGCAAGAGGGTTGAAGTGCAAACCAAGAGGGTTGAAGTGCAAAGCAAGAGGGTTGAAGTGCAAAGCAAGAGGGTTGAAGTGCAAAGCAAGAGGGTTGAAGAGCAAAGCAAGAGGGTTGAAGTGCAAAGCAAGAGGGTTGAAGTGCAAAGCAAGAGGGTTGAAGTGCAAAGCAAGAGGGTTGAAGTGCAAAGCAAGAGGGTTGAAGTCCAAAGCAAGAAGCAAGAAAGGGAGAGGCAAGCAGGCATCGATCACTCACGCGGCACACCAGCTGCCATGCCCGTTTGCATCCCGCGCCGACGTCCAATCAGCGGTCGTGTCTTCCTGCCCGAACCACATCCGGAACCCCGCGTTGAAAATTCTTGCGCCAATCACCTTTCTGTTGCACTTGAAGTCAGCTGTCACCTGACAGGTGCCTCTCCAGGTAGATGGCGGGTTAGGGTATGGCAGGTCAGGTGGGGTAACATTCGAGGAAAATGACGGGTGTTCCGGCCAAATACCCGTGTCGACTATTCCGATCACTACGCCTTCTCCTGCCCGCTCGCGGCCCCGGGCAGTCCAGAGAGTCCCGGGCAGGTTTAGAAAGTTTGCAGAGTCGGTGGTGAGCTTGCTGATTCGGTAGTTGGGTTTGACTTCTGCAACTGCTGGAAGCCGCTTCAGCTGCTGCAGCTGCTTAGGTGTCAAACGCGCCACGAAGGCATTGCTGACGTGTTTGAACCTGAGAATGAGAGGGGGAAACAGGCAGAGAAAATGTCTCATGAGCTTGCAGAGGGAGAAAGCATATGGGGAAGCGAGTGGAGGGATTGGGATTGCGAGTTAGTGTGTAGTGTTCATGCTGGGGGTCAAAGAGGGAACTAAAAAACTCAATATTTTGTATGCATCTACAGCATTGTTCTGAAAAGGCTTTTCTTGATTGTTACAACTCACTTGTACAGTACATTCGCGCGCGACAGACGCACGTCGGCCGCAACTCCATCCTGCAGCCGATCGAGCCACTGCTTGAACTGTGCGACTGCTGGCGACCCCAGGTTCAGTCGCGACAATTGGCGATTCGCTCGGCGACGCCCCCTGCGAATCTGGCCAACCACTGAATTGATGACATCGGACATCGAGTCTCTGACAGCCTCTGCTGCCGTGGCGGCAATCCCGTTGATTCCGCCAGTGTATCCCGCGATTGGCGGGGCGGCGCGGAGGCGAACGATGTACACGTCAGATACGGCAGAAGGGATAACCTTGTCGACTGGCTGGTCCAGCAGCGGAATTTCCGGCGCAGTTTCAGGTGGAATTTCAGGTGTGGGAGGCTGCGTAGCTTCCGATGCGTCATTTTGCGATGGTTGCTGGGGCTCCAAGATGATTTCTGATTGGTCAGCTGCGAAGGGGCCAAGGCTTGGAGTAAGAAAACATTACATCTGGGAAACATTGCGACAGCAGCGGCGCGAGAAATCTCTTCAGTCGCATTGGATAACCTCTCACCTTCTTGCCCATAAACGAGGCTGTTATTGGCGAGGATAAGTAATCCAATCAGACAGCCCACGCTGGCCCGTGACTGGGAAACGGAGCGCCATTGACGAATCTTCATCGCACGCACTACTTGCTTGGGAACGTTCCGCTCCAGCTCCTTTTAAAGCGTGTCAGGGAAAACCTTCTCTACCAGCTCCTACGAAATCTCGAAAATTTACTCCCCCAGTTACGTTACAGGTATATGGTGGTGGAGATGATATCCAGACCTACAACGGAAGGAGAGTTTACTGAGAATGTCCTGGACAAAGCGTGAGCGAGAATCGGGAGCCAGGTCCGAGCGCGCCGTTTTGCTGAAGCTGGACTGATTTAGGGTTTCGGTAAAATCGTTTCTTAGTATGACTTATGTCAAATTCTACCAGGAACAACTACGTAATGGCGTGAAATCATCATTTGGCTCTTCGCTTGCGTCGCCGCCGATAATGATTTTCGTTGCTTCCAGCAACGCGCATTCGTACTGCTACTTGACAGACGAGTCCAGACATTGACAGCACTACGATAGTAGTCAAGAAGCACGTTCCTCCGCGGCGGCGCAATCCGCCAGCGTATTTGCGAGGTGCTGCCAGCTAAGCTGCTGCGCTAATCTCCCGCGACGGGCGTCTGCGGCAAACCTCCAGCCGGAAACTCCGCTGCCTGGTTGCGGCAGAATTGCACTACATAGGATTTCATCTGTCATCAGATTTCTCGTAGGAGAATCACACCCCAATGACGGGGGAATCGAGGCGCACGTGAAATGCGCAAACTAGTGTGGGGGAGGGGAAATTTCCCCACACCCCTCCCCAATGCACACCCCTCACCCAAATCTCAAGTCTACCTTCCCCAAGCCCACCTGGCCGTGCACGCAGCACATCCTCACTCATCCTCACTCACACCTCTGGCAGCGGCTGCTTGCTGCGCTTTGTTCGGCTGCCCATGGGGACTGTGGGTTGGCGAATGTGTGACCAAGCGAAACGATCTGCCCGTAAACCAGTTTTCGTTGCAGAAATCCACGTCGTTGGCTCCAGATTTTCGTCAAGCTCGTAACCAGCTGACCACCATTCATGACAGCCACCAACAGTTGATCGAACGGTGCTCACGACAATTCGTCAATTTAGCTGTCAGGCCGTGTAACAGTTGTCGATGGTACACCCTGTTTCTCGCCACGGTGGATTTCGTTATACTGGGACCTCCGTTTGTAGAAACTCAAGGCGTCCAAAAGCGTGCTATCAACCACTTTATAGTGGATTACGCACCAATTCGATCCAATGTGGTGCTTTACGTTCTAGAGCTTTCATGGACCATTTTGGATGTCTGGGCAAGGTATTTAGGGAAAATGAACTAATGGAACCTCTCCGCACAACACTTGAACTCCTAGAAACGGTTAAAGCTTTTGTATACATTTGAAAGAGGGAGGTTCTAAAGTTTTGAAATTTGAAATATTGGTAACCCAATTACAGCTAGTTCACTCTCTGAACAAGGGAGGGAGATCTCCCCGACACCCAGCACTCGCTGGTGATTCAAAACTTTTGGGTCGACAAAAGTATACGAAATCCAGCCTACGTGAGATCTACGGCAGTACGCTCTAAGCACATCGCGACTCAACAGCCAGCGCAAATTACCCTCGTTTCCGACACAAACCTAGACGCGTGGGGTAGTTTAGTGTAATTATAGGGATAAACCAGCGTCAGTTCCGCCCTCTCACGCAGCGATCCCGCGGGACCTCCTCTCACGGCCTCGCCTCGTCGTCCGTCGTGTCGCCTCACGACGCTGCCTCCTCACGCCACCGTGAACGCGTACGACTCGTCTTAAACTGCCGAACACGCACGATCACAGTCGCGGCCCGATCGCACAGCCTCGCTACCACGTTTCCGCACTAGCCCCGGCAGCCGCACTTGAGTGCGCGAACGACTGCAGAAACGGGAGCTTCCAACCCCTTCCCGCCTCCTCGTTTCCCTTCTTGCCACCCCAATTCGCGTTCCAGCCTCCTCGTTTCCCCTTTCTGCTCCCCAGTACCCCTTCCCGCCTCCCCGTTTCCCCTTGCCCGCCTCCCCAATTCCCCTTCCCGCTCCCCGTTTCCCCTTCCCGCCTCTCCGTTTCCTCTTCCCGCCCCCCATTACCCCTTCCCGCCTCCCCGTTTCCCCTTTCCGCTCCCCATTACCCCTTCCCGCTTCCCCGTTTTCCCTTCCCGCTCCCCATTACCCCTTCCCGCCTTCCCGTTTCCCCTTCCTGCCTCCCCAATTCCCGTTCCCGCCTCCCCGTTTCCCCTTCCCGCTCCCGACTTCCCCTTCCCGCCTCCCCGTTTCCCCGTCCCGTTCCCGTTTCCCCTACCCGCCTTCCCGTTTCCCCGTCCCGCTCCCCGTTTCCCCTTCCCGCCTCCCCGTTTCCCCTTCCCGCTCCCCTTTTCCCCTTCCCGCTCCCCGTTTCCCCTTCCCACCTTCCCGTTTCCCCTTCCCGCTCCCCATTACCCATTCCCGCCTCCCCGTTTCCCCTTCCCGCTCCCCGTTTCCCCTTCCCACCTTCCCGTTTCCCCTTCTCGCTCCCCATTACCCATTCCCGCCTCCCCGTTTCCCCTTCCCGCTCCCCATTTCCCATTCCCGCCTCCCCGTTTTCCCTTTTCTACTCCTCAATTCTCGTTCCAGCCTGCACGTTTCCCCTTCCCGCTCCCCGTTTCCCCTTCCCACCTCCCTGTTTCCCCTTCCCGCTCCCCATTACCCCTTCCCGCCTCCCCATTTCCCATTCCCGCTCCCCATT